ATGGAATGCACTTTCTTACTTTAGAAGAAAACAAGTTAAAATATTGATGGGAATGGGGATTTTATGCTATTATAGAATTGTGTTTTGTGTTAATGTTTCAATTTCTGTAGTTTTCTTGCACAGGCTGCGTCTAACCTAAAATTGAAGAAACATCTTTTTTTGACTCAGGTTTTTGCTATCACCACAGACATCCGGTATTCTGAAGCTTCTGTTCCAAGTTATTTGTATACGATTTAAGCTGTTGTTCATTTGTGTTGATAATTATAACATAGAACTTGATTGTTTAAGTCCTGACATCTAATGCATGCTTTCATAAAACTCTACTTCACCTAATATGAATTATTTTGACCTTTAAACTCTATATTATATGATTCATATATCCCTTTGTGACGTGAGGCAGTGCGTATTTGAAACAATTTAAATACACAATAATGTATCCCACTATCAAATATAATACGGTATACTATTCTCCTGTTAAATGCCTTTTTCGACCGAATGTCGTCTAAAACCAGTCTGTAAAATTTACAGGAAAAACTGAAAATATGTAGAATTTTCATTAGTCATTTTATAATTACAAACTGAAATCTGGGAATCTCATTGGCCATTCTCAGATAAGTAAAATTACTAAGACCATATGGTGGAAAACGGAGAAGCGGAACATACCTTAAAGGAAAAAGGAGCATCCCTTTACAGTCATAGGGTATCCTCTAATAGCAATGGAAATGGAATCATCTGTCAAAGACAAAATAGAATGAAATTTTAAAAATAATTAATTGCATCGACTAACAGACGACACATCCATAAATCAAAATAGTGAATGAAAACGAATGACAATTTTCAATATCATAATGGAACCGAAGGGCAATTTTAATTAGTAGGATGTCACAGTTAAACAAAAACAAGAAAATCATCTCTTTTAGGCCTGGCTGGCATTAACATAAGAACAAACGATACTTTCCATCATATTAAATCATTTGCTCACCTTACTTACCTGGCGTACCTGATGTATACTAACTATCTTGGTAATATAAACAGTTTTGTCATATTTCTTAAAGTATGTCAATGAACGTCACTGAGACAAATATTCATTTTAGTTTTCAAATTAATTCGTGTGCAGTCCAATTAATATTCACTATTATTTAGTATTTTGATATATAGCGCGTTTGTAAATTAAATAAGTGATCAGGTGCAATAAGAATCTCTGTGTAATGATTGCGGCATGTATAGTTGCTACTAAATTAAATCCTACATATTGTGGTTCATGTAAACCAAAAAAATCTAGAAAATTACAATACAAGATGAGCCACAATATATTTACTTTGATAAAACTGTTCTTGATTTAGTTACAATGAATAGATATTTCGTTTTTTAAAACATATCACAGTTACTTGGATTAAAAGCTTACATTTTTAAAACGTGTATCGCATAGTTATTTTACGCCATAGCAAACCCATTTGTGGGCTTGTCCCTAAACAAAAATCATTTCAAAAGTAAGTTAAGTTTTTAAATCTACACAAATATTTTCATTAACATCCATGGGTATAAATTGCAAGGGTTTTATTGATTTGAATAATGAATATTATGGATGTATTTTAATATTAAGTTCACAAAGTTCTCATTGCTTCCAATAAGATTATCTTCAAAGTGTTTAAAACATAGCCGCCGAGGTCAAAAAGCCTTATATCATAACATTCGAAATTCTTCCATAGACCTATCGAGTCATTTAAAACGTAAGAATATACGAAAAGTTATAAAGAAATATACTCAGAAACATTATGAAGGTTAGACATATGGGCATTTGCTCTTTAAAACTGATTCTGGGCCAATGAACTGAAACTTTACATACACGTTATTCCTCCAAACCTACATTAAATTGTGCACTAATTTGAAATCATATTTCCAGTCTTTTCTGTCAATAAAACATAGTCGAGACACTTAAATTTCACGACGTTTGTTGTTGAGCCTTATTTGTATTGTAGTAATGAATGTAAAACCATGAAAACGTCATGTAAACAATTGTTACTTCTAAAGCGACGGGTCCAAAAATATATAAGGTAGACCATGGGTAATGCATTACCTCCACTTTGAAGAGTATTCAAATAAGCTAGAATCGCTTGCCAACTTCATTGAAATTGAGGGGCGTGGGTTCAAACATCAGACGGGGCTACTTTTTCTTTCTTTCTTTTTTTCTTTTTAACATTATTTATGTATCTCTCTGATCCCTTATGGAAGAAAAATAATGTTTGATTGGGTCAAAAATATTAATTATAAATACATGTATAATTTAATGAATGTAACACTTGTAAGAAACGGAAATATTCACTTGTCAAGTAACAAGTCGTTATAAAGATATTGCTTCTTTACGTTTGCTTGCTTGTCCCATTTCGGTACACAATAATTGTACCAACATTGGATGAGAAGCAAATTAAGACGGTACAAAAGTACTTAGCACTTTTAGTATGAATGCATCTGTTCGACATACACATGTTCATGTCCTACTTGATTACCTTCGCAAAATTAATTAACACAGGAATCACATCAGAATCTTTTTTTGTATCTAGAAACTATGATTATTATACTTCAGTAGTTTTTCATTTATTCTGAAAGAAAAGACAACAATGGTTCAAGGTGGTGCAAAATTAGTTTGGTACCTTTGTGCAGTAACATGACATTAACCATATTAATGTTCTTGTTGCAACTCTTCACGATAATAATTAATGCAGTCATCTTAAAAGACATTATCGTTTTTACAGGGGAAATAAGGTAATTATATTATTTTAATGGAAAATAAAGTAATTACATTTCTGTTGCAATTTCATTTATTTAAGGTGGTGCAAAATCAGTTCAGTACTTTTATGGTTAATGTATTAACTTTACATAAGCCAATTTCATGTTTTCGTTGCGACGCTTCAAAATAGTAAATAGTAATTAAGGCACGCATGTCAACAGAAATTGTCCTTGTAACTGGCAAAAAAGTAATTAAATTTCTGTAATGGAAATTAAGCTAGATCTAATACCATAATTATAATTATGTTGCTTTTTCATTTTGATCTGACAACAAAAACAACAATAACAAATATTTTAATAATTAACAATACAAACAGCGAAAGAAATGCAGATGAAAGTGTTACAGAAGTTGTTCTGGGTTGAAATGAAAATCCAAATGTATTCTTAGATTACGGTCACGATAATAATTAACGCAGTAAACACGTCAAGAATTTTCCCTGTTTTTAGAAATTATATTGTTGTTGGTATTTCATTTTAATCTAATCTGATAGTAAAAGGAATTTTATGAGACTTGTCTGTTGTAATTTGTTGGTAGAATAAAATGTATGAAGAAACAGAAGTATCTAGAAAATATAGAAATATTAGTGCTGGTTAGAGAAAATAATGTTTTAGTTGATGTCATGTTAGGATCGAAATAATATATCTCTATCAGTGATCATATCATTGATAAATTAAATGTTTTCCTTCGGATGTGCAGCATTATTTCAATCGGGCTATGCTCAATCGGTCTCGTGATATAATTCCTCTCATCTGGAGCTAAGTCCTTTTTAAACTTGGAATTTTCGACAACTTTGAATTTTTGACATAATTGCCTATTATATAAGAATGATTTCAGATCTATAAAAGGTATCAACATGAAACTTGTTATACTGTTAGTTATAAAGATGTTTGAAAGTTATACGACCCTGTTTAAATGGTAGTTTGCTTATATAACCTAGCCACAAGAAAGTGAGGGTTATATTGCAAACAACAATTTTTTAAATGGCCATAAAACCTGTCAGGAATCTTGGTAACAAATTCATAATACAGCAAACTTCCTTTTTAGAGGGAGAAAAAAACCCCCCAAAGAAACCGATTTGTTCATGAAATGAAACATCATGATAATCGAATGAATAATGATATTACAAATATGCAGTATTAATTTTACACACTTTTTTACACACTTTAACTATGCATTTAATGAATTTATAATGTTTAGTGCTTTAACATAATGTAAGATAATATTCAAAAAGATCAAGTTTTAACTGTGAACATAAAATTGCTTAAATCATACAAGCATTATATGATATAAGCATTATACTATGCTCAAATTTGATATTAGAAAACATTGATAATTGCTTCACAGTCTCTTTGTAAATATAAAATGAACATACTTGACTAATCATAAAATAGATATGTTATAATGTTTAAAATTCTACACTCTATAGGTGATCAGAATATAAATATATAGTGTCTTAAGAAAATACCATTTTTATTTGACATTTCATAGTGAACGAAGTTTCCGATACCTAGTTTATTTCATGTTACGAGATACTAGTACTTTGTCGTTGCCATGAGTTACTATGTCGTGCGCACGTGATAAGTGCTGTACACGAGATACTTTGTCGTGGCAAAGAGTTTTTCTAAGACGTGCGCACGAGAAAATTGAGTTGTTGGCACCAGTTACTATGTCGTGACAACTAGATTAATAAGTCGTACGCAGGAGATGGTTAACCAATCAGGTAACACTATATATATATATATATATATATATATATATATATATATATATATATATATATATATATATATATATATATATATATTAAAACGTGATGAATGTTCCTTGTGCAGTGTTGAAATATATAAAATTATAATGTTTAAGAAATAACAAACTCTATATGTAAAATCGGTAGCGCTTTCAATGCTTTCTTTGCATATCTTCAGCCGAAACTTTAATAAACATATAAACAAATTTGTGAGGACCATCCTCTGATAGGGATGATCATTTGTTTATACGTTTATTAAAGTTTCGGCTGAAGATATGCAAAGAAAGCATTGAAAGCGCTACCGATTTTACATATAGAGTTTGTTATTTCTTAAACATTATAATTTTATATATATATATATATATATATATATATATATATATATATATATATATATATATATATATATATATATATATATATATATATATATAAATATATATATATATGAACCTTTTATACTGAACAAAATCCTGGTTAAAGTTTTACATGCAACATTTGTCTTTGAAACTACTGAAGGTATCCACTTTAAGCTTGATACATGTCTTTAAGATCGTATTAGGAGATCACTATCAAAGGCACATAGATTAGACTTTAATCTTGATTAAGTTCTGGTCCTTTGTGAGGACCATCCTCTGATAGGGATGATCAGCTTGTACGTATTAACCTTGAGGAGGAATGAGCCCTGGTTTATTTTATTTGGTAGGGACATTGTCCATGGCCAGTAGATGGTATACATTGATGTTTTTAGGTTAAAGGTCAAAGAAACCATGACACTTCATGTAAAATCCTTGTCTGATGAATAACTTGAGAAGAAATAAGCCATGATTTATCTAACCTGTGACAACTAATAATTTTGAGGGCATTAGGTCACAAATCAGGGTCACAATGACGCTAAATGTAAAATCATTGTCGTATCAATAACTTTTATATATTGCACAGTGACAGACGGGTGAAGTAGGGGCAGCGTTGTCCTATGGCACATTTCTAGTAAACTGAAATAAATCATATAAATATTGTTATCTGATTGGTTAGTTATCTCGTGCGCACGACATAATTGTCTCGTGCGCACGACTAAATAACTCGTGGCAACGACATGGTATCTCGTGCGCATCACTTAATCATTTCGTTCCCACGACTTTGTATCTCGAGGCCACAACACAGTATCTCACGTGCATGACTTAGTAACTCCTGGCCACGACATAGCATCTCGTGCGCACCACTTAATTATCTAGTTCCCACGACTTAGTAACTCCTGACCACGACATAGTTTCTCGTGCGCACCACTTAATTATCTCTTGCACACCAGTTAGTAACTATTGGCCACGACATAGTATCTCGTGCGTACAAGATAAATAAAAAACCCATAATTGTCATATCTGTGTCACTGTAGCTATCTCTTTATAAGTTCCGTCCTTTAATTTATCATAACATTCCAAAATATTAACTATTTACATCTTGAATAAAAAACAAATCATTTATTTTTCATTGATCTATGCAATTAAATTATGATGAAGCATTTTTCTATTGCTCATGATCTATTTGTTAAAAGTCAATGTATCAAATAATCATTAGGCGTTTTACTAAGCTATCAATATTGTTTTAAATTTGTTGCGCACTCCTCACATGTTATAGCCGACAATTTCGCAGTTTCTAGGCTGGATGAACTTATGGATTTGCTCAAGCACAAATCTAATACAAAAGCTACACATAAACCTTACATGCAATCATTTATTATTATTATTATTATTATAATTTCTTATAATGCTGTCGGAAATCTCTGCACACATTGAAGATCGAAGGCAGGTTGTTCAGCAGCTCGCACTATTCTTTTGTTTTCGTCCGGACTCCACGTACTGTTAAGCCTAGCTGTATTAACTGTATAAGGAGACAATTTTCTACACCAATTATAAACTTTTTATTGCATGTCAAAAATGATTTCATATAATTACTAGTACTTATACAGTCGAAGATTGGTGCTTAAGAACATTGAACATTTTCTACAAACGGATGTTTTGGGGAAAAAAACAGGTCTTATCTTGAGTATGATAATTATTTAGATGAAACATATGCAAAAAAATAATGATGTTTTTGATACGGTATTTGTTGAAGTTATGAAAATGTAAAAAACTTGTCTGTATGATAATTAAACTTTTTGAATGCTTTCAACAGAAATTTGAACATAGAAGTGAAACAGCTTCATTGATAAAAGTAATTCAAAAAATTGTCTCAGAATATTTTACATTTACCATTCCAAAGTGCAGCCCAGTAATCTTTGTAAATGTGTGGATTGTTTACGTTAGAAGATCTCTCTTTAAAGGAAACTCGAAAATCTGAAATTGTTTATTTAAGACATTGACACTATCATTTTCATGTTAAATGTTTTAGTAAGACCATCAGCTGTAATCCGTGTATAATTGCAGACACGACCGTGCAATTTTGGGGAGCGCTAATCTTCTGTGTACTAGTGAATGCTTTGATGTCACCTTTGAACCAGGCTTAAAATAATATTCAGCAGAGGTAATTTCAACACATGATATCAATGAATAAAGTTCTTTATTAAATATTTATGTCAAAGCAGATACATCTTTTCTTTGTCTTTTATCAAAGCCTTACACACGTATCAGCCATCACATTTCTGAAAAATATAGCATACATGTATTATGTTATATTGTTACTTTTAAAGATTTTTGACGCCATATCACCTGTCAAAAATCTTACATAACTTATAATATAAACGTCATGGACCTTTCCAGTTTTTTGTAGCGGAACATTTAGCCACACCTTTTCCATTCATTGCTAGGTCAGCTGCTCACAAACAGTATCACAAACATTTGTGCAAACCCTGTCAACCAGTGACTATGTATTATCTCAGTGTAGCGATTGGATAACAAGTTAGCCAGTTTACATAAAACTGTAAACACCGGAAAGGTCCATTATCCAATGAAAAGCGACGTTATAAACGTGCAATATTATAGAAAGATAAACAAATCTCTCTGTCATTTTAAATATTTTTTATATATTTTAATTGTTAGGCGTGAAATCCAATGAAAAATAATTATTTTGTTCCACCCCCCCCCCCAAAAAAAAAAAAAAAAAAAAACAACCACCAAAAAACAACACAAAAACAATCAATGTGTAACAGACCGAGCATCCGAATAGACTGAACTAGAATTCTGTACATATTGAAATCTATAGGTTTTTTTATTTCTTTTATGGTAGCTATTTAATGTTAATTAAAAAATACACGTTATACATGTTTTGCTGTTAATGCATAACAGGATTTATCACATAAACCCCGGCGCAGGAATGTAATAAAGACATTACAATAAAAACGATTTTAGTGTAATAACACTTTGACGTGATGTCGATTGCGCTATTTATAATAATGTCGTTTTTTATTGGATAATCGTGACGTTTATATAGTTAAATATACACGACTGTTGTCGATTTATAAAGAAATCTCGCTTTATTCCTTTAAAAAGGTGTTTGCTGTATTATAAATTCGTTATAGATATTTCTGACAGGTTATATGGCCGTATACGAGCATAAAGGGTTGTTTGCAATATAACCTTCGCCTAGCGGCTGGGATTATATTTACAAATAACCGTTTATATAGGGCCATATAACCTGTCAAAATCTTTATAACTAATAATATAAACGAGCGTTAAAGCGCGCTAATGTAAGCGTTACACTATAGGCGCGTCAATGAAAAATGACTCTTTTTAACAGTTTACCGTTCTCATTTTATATATGTGATAAATAGAATATGATACTCGTGTAGATTCAATACCTAATTTATTGAACTCGTTGAATAAACAATATTATGCTCGCCAGTGGCTCGCGTAATATGATTTTATTCAACTCGTTCTATAAATTAAGTATTAAACACACACTCATTTAATAACTTATATAGAAACGCATGCATGCATGATATTATGTTACATTTATTATGTTACATGTTTCACTAATTGATCCTATAATCGCCGACCTTTCTGTTGAAAATGTGTCAGAGTTACATCGTATACACATGTACATATATATGCACAGTGCGTTAACTGGAGTGCAGGTATTAGTTACCCGCACTCCAGAGCATGTCCATTGATTACCATATGATACAAAAAAGAAATAACATCAAAACACTCGCAATCTGATAAATACTCGGGGGCTGTGCCCCCTCGTACAAATCAGATAGCCTCGTGTTTCGATGCTCTTTCTATTACACGGAAGCTGAATAGTTCACAATATAAATGAATTTGTATGAATGCATATTAATATCTTTTTTGAACAGCGAATAGCTGTTGATATGGTTGACTGGCATTTGTTATAATCAATTGCGTCTTACAAAATGTTGACAAACTATATTTTTAATAATAAGGAATAGGACAACAATACATACCTAGGTTTTCTGTTTACCTGTGAAAAAAATAAAATAACTAAATTGTTTTAAGCAAACTGTAGAAAAAATTACAATACAACTTAAATTTTCTAACTTTATAATTAGAGTGATGTTTATAAAGATCTTTCCAACTTTATCTAATATAACGACTATGCTAACGCCATTTTGATAACTTACATGCTTGAAAGAAAAATTGGGGAAAGAAAATCAAACATCTTAAACATAGAGGTGTTCAAGGACTTACGTTTCGCTTGTCATGTTCGGCAACTGGAATGGAAGGAAAGAATCTTTAAAAAAAAACAACAAAAAAACCCCTTGAAAAACAGGCCGTAAAAAACATGATTCAAGTCAATGAAAAATTTAGTGCTACAAATTCGAACCGATTTATGACATCTTAATTGATATTGTTCAGAATTATAAGATTTTTTTACCTGGACTTCTTTGAATTAAATCAATTCCCTTACATCTTTCAATCACATTTCCTATGGTTTCCTGTCTTATGAACGTAAATGTTCTAGCTCTATTACTTTTTTCAAATTTAGCAAAAGTTTCCTTTATATCTTTCAATTTTTTTTCGCGAACGTATTGCCGTGACCAATAACCTTATTGGATCATTTTTTCTCTATCTCCATTGTCATTTTCATTGCAGATAGATCTTCTCTCTCATATTTGATGCATTTACTTCTAGCTTCTCTAAACATCTTAAAGTCTCGGTTTTTGTATCGTTTGCCTCTTCACAAGCATCAAAAATCAGGTAATCCATCTTTTCCTTTATCGTTTTCCTAAAGCTCTCGGCGTCTCTGGTAAATGTTTTATGTGTAGCGTGTGTACTGTCCATGTTTTGTTTTTAATCTCCTTTTAGTATTCTTTTATTTCGTTGCTGCATTTTTCAATCTCTTTTATGGCTTCGTCTAAGTATTCATTTTTGTCTACATTATCTAAACTCATCGTCTTATCCGATATATATGATACTTCACATGTTTTATGCTCGAAGATTATGCAGTCTCTACAGCCAATCACTCGATGCGTTGCGCAATAAAACGTCAAAGGTTGTTGATCATGCTTTCGGACATATATTCTTGCAAACCTCCTAATTCTTCGTCCACAGCCGACGAACCATCAATACAAGCTGTATCTAGAAACGTATGGTTCCTACACATCTTTCCCCTCCGATGATGCTGAAAACACTCAGTACACATGTTCTCTTGACATTCATTACAGCGGCCTTTAGCTGCTGTTACATTTCCATCAAAAATGCACGGTTTACACATAATATCTTTAACGTTTTCAGATTTTTCATAAATAGAAACATTACCTTCCGCTACAGCCATTTCAATACATGTACTAAATTAATATAATATTCTTTTAGCAAACAATTTTTACAAGTGTAATAGTGCCGGTTTATTATCAGTGGTTCAAGCTGATTTGAGCCCAACACTCAGTGGCGCTCTTGACAGACTTAAAATATAAATGGCCTAATTACTATGCGGACGACACGTGATCACAAATATCTCTTTAAACGGCACTTTACCCAGGTTCTCTGAACTCTTAATTGCCAACCAGTGGCTAGGATGGTGGTGTAGGACGCTACCTTTAATTTACTCTTATTAAGAAAGTAAAACAACAAGATTTTATAAATTTAACATTACGAGATTTATTCAAACGAATAATCATATACTTATTTAAACGACAATCGTATAATTTATTTACCAAAAGTATGAATAAGACTATATATTTAAAGCAGAATCTACCAACAACTAGTTTATTTATTTAAAAAGAATTCCTAAGTATTTATTAATAAGTTTTGCCTAAATTCTCAAATCATATAGATTTCAAAGAGAGTCAAAAACTATTAAGTTTTGAAAGAGTGCCAAAGCTCTAAAGCTTTGAAGTGAACTGACCTGTCGGCCAGCTCCCAAGACAAGATATATAGAAATTCACCCGGTATTTATACACTTTTGGTAGTCATGACAATGCTTAACTATAAGATTGATTGGTCAAAATTACTCATAAACAAGTTTCTGAACTAATCGAATTATTTTAATCAAGTGGACCAATAAAAATGTAAATCTAAACCGAAAGAGCCAATCAAGAGACTTTAAACAGATTAACGTTAGGGAAAGAAGCCAAAATGGACGACAAATGAATGGTATAGATTTGACAACTAAATATTTTATCAAAATACGGTCCTATTACATTCCTCCTTCCTTAATTAAAAGACGTGTGGGTACAAATAAAAGGAATATCCACAAAAATTTAAAGGTAGTATTTAATTATTAAAGTAGCTTACTAATAATTAGAAAAAAGGTACTTTATTCCAAAAGTAGATCTAGATATCGAACTATTAATATTATATCAAAACTCTACGGTAAAAGGTAAACACCAAAAATTTAATTCAAGCAATCTAAATTCTATCAATGAAGATTTAATTTGTTCAGAACTGTATTCAGAAAAAATATTAACAAACAAAATAAGTCTGAGCCTGAAATGTATGATTTATCAATAAATCTCTTTTATTAACAAAATAACAAGGATTATACATCCAATCCTTTAAATAACAACCAAAAATAATAACAAATGTAAAACAACAATATCACAATATTATATATATAGTATGACTGAGGCTATGAATGCACATTAAGACTGTCAATCATCCAGATAATCTAGCTCAACATTCCTGTCGTACCAGTTGTCCAAAATCTCATTCTGTGCCCGTGCCTGTCTCTCCTGTCTGTCTCTTTCTTTTCGCTCCTCCCTTTCCTGTACCCTTCTCAATTCCTCCTCCTCTCTATTCCTTCTCTCCTGATCAGCCTGTCTCTGATCCTCCTCAGACCTTCTCTGCCGTTCCTGCAAGTCAGGGTAAACAAATTTCCTGGCATTGCCTGGATCACGATATGTAGGGTTGACTGCCCTCTCTTCCAAACAAACATGAGCTTTCCCGGCTGAAGAATTGTGTCTTTTAGCATCGTACTTTCGTGTCAACACTTTTTTACAAGTTACACAGACAAAGACTGTCCTCATGTAGATGTGCCTGTTCGACCAATGTTTCCCAAAGTCATTATACTTGGTAAAAAAGGTATCTGTCCTGCAGCTTGGCACTGGGCAGCATGCCCCCTGGCGTGGCCATACAGGTCTATCAGCCATACTTGATCAATGATAATGTATTGTAGAATTGATTACAAACTGAAATATTGAAAAAACAAATAAATGATCATTATATCATGTATATAGTACATAAACAATAACAATCAATCAATACTTCATGAAATTACTCTTAATCATAGGAAAATATTCCTATTTTGATTAACACTAAGCATTGAAACCCTAATATTTACATTTGCTAACATTAACTCTTACATATGTAACAGTTCTTTAAGCACAATTATCTTAATATAACACAATCAATCCTGTGTTCATATTTCTTTTAATTTTAATAAAGTTTACTAGAAATATTTACATTCTACATAGTTCTAGGTCATGTAAGGACTATTATATTTATCTTAGATTATATATCTAAGTTTTAATTACACAAATACTTAATCATGAATGTATACATATTTTTTTATTTTATATATCATTTTTAAAAAAAAAACATGTATACAACAAAAATGTCATATTATATAATTATATCAACTAGTATGATTGATATCATTTAATTTCCTAAAAGCAACTTTAATTGCTGAACCCACTTATTTACAGATTATGTACTATAATTAAGCCTTATGTCTTAATTGTTGACAGCTAAATGATTAAGCACCGTGTGCTTAAGTAAAAACCCTACATTGATAATATTTCTCTGGGTTTTATTTGTCTTTCACGCCTAGACCTTGGTACAAAAGGAATTTCTTTGTTTTTATTCTTTTCATCATCTGAAATTAATCTGAACATTTGTATTTTCATTTTCAGAACATAACATTTGATTAGGAGATCCAGACTCCAAATTTACATATTGATTTGCCTTTAACCAATTGCTAGGAGGCATTTTTCCCTCATAAATTTTCAAGTGATCTACATGAACCACAATAGGATTAGAATCCTCAGACTTCTGAATTTTATAAGTCAAATATGTAATTTTTCTCAAAACGAGATATGGGCCTATCCAACCTTGTTTCAATTTTTTATTTACAGAGGGTGGATACCATCTCCAAACCCAGTCTCCATTTAAAAATTCCCTAGGTTTTAAATCTCTTTCATAGTACTTCTTCTGCCTACTAGCAGCTATATTCAATTGGTCAAAAGCAAATTCATATGATTGTCTCAAAGAAGTTTTCACCCATTGAACATATTCAATTTGGACATTCTACTTCTGTAGTATATAGTGGAAGTCCTACCATTAAATCAATAGGACAATCCAACTCTCTCCCTAACATAAGTAAATTTGGGGTACAACCCGTACTTTTATGTTGTGTAGAACGATAGGCTGCTAAGACATAACACAGATGGTCATCCCAGTCTGTTTGATTTTCTTTAAGGGAAACAAAATGAGATAACATCTGCACTATAGTCTTATTAGCGCGCTCAATCATCCCGTCCGATTTCGGGTTATAAGGACAAGTCCTAGTCTTATCAATTTCTAATAAGGAACATAAACTTGAAAATAATTGGGACTCGAATTCTCTCCCCTGATCTGTATGTATTTGAGCAGGAAACCCATATTGTAAAAACACCTGAGTAATAAGGGTATCCGCTACAGTATAAGCTGTATGATTTGGAACAGCAAAAGCCATTGTCCATTTAGTAAAGTAACACCCACAGACTATAATATATTCATTATTCTGGTTTGTTAAAGGGAGAGGGCCCAGAATATCTATAGCTAAAATTTCCATAGGGCGATGAGCCTTAATTTGTTTCAAATGAGATTTCCCTTTCCCTGGTCCGGGTTTACCTTTTGCACAACTTTCACACTGGCGAACCCAAAGTGCTATATCATTAGCCATACCAGGCCAGTAAAATCTACGTTTAATGCACTCTAAGGTGCGATCTCGTCCCAAATGGCCAGAATATCTCTGTTCATGAAGTTGCTTAAAAATATAATTTCTAAGTTCCTCAGGGGCTACTAATTGATAAACACACTCATGATCATTAAAGTTCTTGTAATACAACAAACTATTACGGATTTCAAGTGTTTCCCATTTTTGCCATAATTTAATAACATCTGAGTGCAAATTTGATAGCTCTGACTTTTTAGGCTTTGTTAAATATTCTTGTTTTAACCTAATTATTTCAGACACTATAGAGTCGTTAATTTGAAACTCTAGTAATTTCTTTACTGGACCAATGAAACAACCAGTTTGGTTCAAGATTTTTATTCGTGTCAGATTGTAATTGCGAATTACCTTGACCTATAGGGTTTATGTTAACATACTTGTTATTTTCAATAATTTTTGACTTTTGAAAAGTACTAACACACTCCTGACAATTAGTTATTTTGCATGGCCTTTTTATTTTTCTAGAAAGACTATCTGCATTTAAATGCTTTGTACCTTGCCTATATTCAATGTCAAATTCATAGGCCCCAAGAATATTAATCCAACGTGCCAGAATTCCTTCAGGCTCCTTAAATTTTTGAAGATATGTCAAACTTTTATGATCTGAGCGAACCAAAAATTTCTTCCCTAAAAGATAGTGTTTATAGTGTTGTATGAAATGAACTATAGCAAATAACTCCCTTTTTGTTGTACAATAATTTCTTTGTGCGGGGTTAAGAATTTTACTGCCATAAGCCAATACTTTTTCTTGTCCATTTTGAACTTGAGAAATTATTCCTGATATAGAATCAGCACTTGCGTCAGTATCCAAAATAAATTGACTACCATTTTCCTCAGGAAAAGCCAAAATAGGAGGATTAACAAGACAAGTTTTTAATTTCTCAAATGCCTCATTTTCACTTTCATCCCATTTAAATTTAGCATTCTTTCTTGTGAGTCTCGTTAGAGGTAATGAGATTTCGGCAAAGTTTTTGAATCATTTTCCTATAGTACCCACAGATACCTAGCCATGACATAACTTCATGCTTATTAGTAGGGGTAGGCCAATTTTGTATACTTTCTATTTTTGAT